CTATAATTCTGTTAAAGCTTTCTGGATTATACATGTCCTGCCATTCCATCCCCCAATTTGTCAGTGTCCGCACGACAATGGCTAGCAGGGCCCGCGAAAGCCAAAGTCAACAACGGGAACAAAACTGAGAAAAAAAAAGCTTTATGTGCTTCTATTTTTTGTCAAAAGAGAACAAACCTGCCCATATTTTTTTTTTTGTTATCCGATAAAGTTGTTACTACAGTCGAATGCCTGCACCCTCACCTTTTAGACAGATGCTTCCCAGGTGAATTGGTCAGAAGCAGAAAAAAAACTCTTTGCTATAAATAGAAAGTGTTGTTGATGACCGTCCACTCTACCGAAGAGGCAAATACTAGATCGAAGCGCGAAACATCATTAGTTTTCAGCAAAGACCCCGTATTATGGTAATAAAACCGTAATAAAACAAGGCATTAAATCACTTAGTCTCGTACTCACGAGCTTTTCCCATCTTTATGTTCTGTGTAATCAATCAGAGAGGAACTGCGGGGAGGTGAAGGGGGCTTATTCCTTACGATTATTACACTGTTTGGTATTTGCTATTTCGGCGTATTTTAGGTAACGACGACAATCATGATTATGATGATTATTTTCAGGTCGCTTCTGATGATTTTGTTGACTAAAAACACTTTTGTTACGCGTGTCCAAATAATCAATAATTGGTAAATTTGCGAAGTAATCATCCATCGCCATTACTGTGACTCGAAATAGGACCGGTACCCAATTACAATGAAGGACGAAACAAGAGGCAGAAACAATCGATGTAAGACAGACTGACAGTGATTGTGAATATTCAGCCATCGTCAACTACAATAATTTCATCGTTACTGCCATTCAATGGGCGACGAAGTAGTTTTTATTGCGAGCGTCTGCTTCGTGGGTCGAGTGTCGATAGATTACGGTGAGACGCGATTTCGACGTACCAGAACGATACTGTGTACTGCAATCCTTTTCCACTAACGGCGAAAAAGCGACAAATGGGGTTTTATAACAATGTAACGGTATAGCCCTTTTTCCTCCCATGAATCGTCACCGGATCTTTATTCCTGCGTCATTTAATAATGCTCATAATGTAATCTGTTACGCGGGCAAAAAACGCAGCAAACGAACTACTTAATTATGTTTATTCCAACGGTATACGGCGACAACGAAGTATCGATGAGGCCGAAAAAAGATAGTAGCATCCATCTATGAATGTACGTATCGTTGACGTTTGTTATACAGTAATTATGATATTAAGTGATAGCTTGTACTCACCCAATAGCCATTGGAGGAACGACATTAAAATTGATGGAAAATGTTAGTTTTCGATCGATACATTCAGTGTGTGTATAATTTGGTTCGAGTTCTTATAGAAAAGTGTTAAGCAGTGGAAAGGAAATCTTAATGATGAGCCTATAAACGTATTCTAAGAATGTTGCAAAAATAACACAAACGTAAACTGAAAATAGCCTTCTGCTTGATTCATCTGACCAATCTAAGCAGTCGAAAGAATTAGATCTTTGCTCTCCTCCTTAGCCCGTATACACAAGATGATTTATACTAGCCTATTAGATAGAGCTACGCAACAGTAACGCTTCAGAAAATGCCTGTAAAGTTTTTTTCTCGTATCGTCGAAAAACTGCGCACTACAATAGGCCACAGACAATTTCATGTATACCATTTTACCCATTCATGTACTTGAAAAATGGTGCCAGCGCGTGATTCGTAGTTTAAGGGGTTGCACATACGTCGAATACGTGAACAGTATAAAAAACGTTATAAAAAAATAGGTTGACGATCGCTGCAAAATACCGCATTATCTTCGCTCTGGGGCGGCTGGAAGTTTGAACGAATGCCGCAGTAGCAACTACTTGTCATGCTTGTAGCCAAGCCAACAGAGTACTTCAGATATCACGAAGTGCTCATTACGAATGCACAAGAATCACCTCTGCGCATCAGCAAATGATGAGAGACGCTTTCTGCGACGGTCACAGTAGCACTGGCCAACGAGAAACAAGCAAAAAAAAACGAGCGGATAGCCTTAATACAATGAGCAATTTCAGTTAATGTGCTTTTCACAATCCTCAGTTACCACATAAGTATAATGTAATAATAACAACAATACGCCTATATATCTGACCACCTAAATAAAACGAGATATTGTTTTATGAAATAGAGCTAGCCGACTCAAAGGTAACTGTTGCACTTTACGCGATTTTTTGATTGACCAAAAAATACGAAACTGATCTTATTGTGGATCTGCCCTGTCAATCTTGTCAGATACCCAGACCATCCCGAACGCTCTCGTACCATATAAAGAATTTCACAGCCTCTATTATCGAATGTCGGCTAACGGTTATTTCCACATTTCTAATTTCTTGTCATTTGTGCGACGAATTTTTATTTATTCGTTCCACATTTGCTTACGCTAAACGTTAGAGGTCCTAAGATAGTCCTGAAATCTTCACCAAGCACTTAGCTGTCAAAAAAGGGCAATATTTATATAATTTTAAATTTGGGCGATTGATGTGATCACTCAGTGGAGTCACCTTGAGGAATTTTCAATTTGAAGGCCACGTGACCCGTTAAATGCTACCCCTCTATATATCTGCTTGCGAGTTTGACCGCTCGCAAACATTTGCCGTGAACGTCACTGGTTCTCCATTTGTATGGAGAGTTTCGGGTGCAGGACTATATTTATCACCTACTTCTAGAACAATGAACTAAAAACTGCGGTCTGTAATCGTACGTAAATGATCAATGCGAGAGTTTGCCTCCTGTTTTGATCTTTTTTTCCTCTTCTTCCCTTTCATTTTTTTTGGTACGGAATGCCAAAAAAAAGCAGAAAAACATACGCCAGATAACTCTTATTACCACTAAAAGTCATCCGCGATGGCAGCCCGCTTCTGACAACAGTAGATTTTTGGCAAGGCCTTCCTCTTTCGATGAGGTGGCCTTTTTGATGCGGCGGCGATGGCTGACGGTCGTGCCTGGTCAGTTAGTCAGTCAGCCGATCTGAGCATGCGTGCGATACTGGAGTGAATTATGGAGAGGAGAAAGAAGGGGGCAGCTGAGCGAGAAGAAGAGGCGACGAATGCCAGTAGGCTACTGGCGTGTCCAGCGATGCTTCGATGACCCTAGCGAGGCATTCAAACACAGGGGCATTCATATTCGCTCGTTCAATCATGCTCGACACGCAAATATCTAGACACAACTTTGTCTTTTTTTTCTAGATGGGATCAGTAACAGGGCCATAGCTGTAGAGGGATTCTACCCGCTCATCGCTGGGCATTTAGTAACGAGAATAGGTTATGTACCGCCTGCAGCGGTGACTACCCTAATATCCACAAGCACACGCCCCCTGACCATCATCGTATCCACGCATCCTATGACTAAGACGCTCGTCCTTCTTCATGACATTAATAATCATACATTTTTTATCGCTTTCTTAAACATACACATAAATCTAAACCGCTCATAACGATAATAATCGCTAACTTGTTTTTGGTAATCAGTAATGCGCCATTAGCCACGACTGCAAAGGGTAAACGAAGACAAGTAAATAAGCAATGTTATCGGAAGCGAAAGAAACGAACGAAAGAATTTAGATAAACAGCTAGATGAATATACTACTGGCGGAGGTTATAAGCGACTGATCCATACGCCTCGGGCTTATCCAGTAATTTTCAATTTAAATTTAAGAAAAAAAAGAAAATTTTCAATTTACAAATGTCTGATCATTCGGTTTTGCGAAGCTGACTGCTCGTTGCAGATTTACGGCGAAGACCCCGCGCTAATTTGAATGTGACATTGGCGTGCAGATGCGTTGAGGACTGTCGATCGGTGTCGATTTAATGAATCATAAACGCTCGCGTAACGCATAACATTAACCGTACGAGGCAGGGCATTCGGACAATATTAGCCAAGCCAGTCGTTTTTTCAGGTATTCGATCTTGTTTTTAGATGCCCCGCACACAAAAGGCGTAGTTCTATTCGTTGAATGCTTTATATTTTCTATATGAGGGAAATTTTCCTGTTGACAAGACAGCTCCGTTCGAAGCCAGTATTCGTATATAATAATGGCAAAATCCGAGTGTGTGAATCTGATTCAGCTGCACAGATGCGTACATATACTATTATCCTTATTTTCTATGCATACAGTTAATATCCGAATATCTCGACTGTGCAAATGAAAGGCAGCTGAATGGTTCCCTGTTTAGAAAAACCACAATAGTGATCCGGCCTAATGTCTTTACCTCTTAAATAAGGCTTCGCGCATAGGTACGTTTTCTACATACAACTGCTAATCGCAACGGGCAAAATTCCTGCAACGGTAGTGACAGCTGTTAACAGATGGGCCGCTGCCGCTATAGCCGCCATAAGTCGCGACAGTAGCGCGAAGAATTGTTGCGTACATGCTGCACGCCATAATCGACATTTTTTGTATTCCTGTTTTGTCCGTAAGTTACTACTACCACTAAACAACAACAAATAAAGAGACCCCAGATAATCGACATGGAGTCGTGGGAAGGTGTCTCCTTTGATTTCTGGGTGCAGTCATCACGATAAGTAAACTCAGAGCTTTCTAGATGACAACCCGAAATCATCGCTTCCAAATCTGTCTGGCTGTTTTCCTACATACATATATATATATACATGTTGATGACACAAGAACATATGCAAATAGGCTGCCTGTTCTAGTTGGGCGTTAGCTCGCCGAATCCCAGCCCACAACGATCAGAAGAAACCGATTTTGCTCATGCGTGACTGACCGCAAATCAGAGTAATGACGCGGTAAAAGAATATTATCTAGTTACGCTTGTTGTGGGCTCGACCTCTGCTAAGCGTCAATACGTACATCAGCATAATGTATCGCACACCCAGCCAGCCGACCAGGCAACACAATTGATGCTATTTCGTTAATAATTAGTGTCAAGTGGCCATTTTCGGTAAGTTGTAAAGTCAGATAGTGTGATCGCAAAGCGTGCGTGTTTATTTACTCATTTATTAAAAACTGCCTGACAGAATATCCTCTGAGCCTGGTAGAGTGACTATAAATATCAGATCAGACACAATCATACAAACGGATATTTTATTGAGACCGCTGAAGTTCCAAATACGAGTTGCCTCAGGTGAGCTGCGTCCATAGACGTAGCGAGCCTATGAAGGCACAGTCTTTCCTATTCTTAGAGGCTCTTTTTGACATCGTGCACCGCCATCACATGTTAGCGAACGGGATTCGTTTCCGTTGATCTCGCTCGAGCTGGTTACGAGCGATCGTAAAAACGTATGCGAAGTCCTACTTCACTGCCTCTTTGTCGTTCTGAACTCCATGCTGAAATCAATACAAGAAAATAAGATAACAAAAAAATCTAGCTGGCAGCTGCAATTAGGCACTGAATTGTTAATCGGGACTTTTTTAGCTGTCACTTTATAGTACACACTCGTTTCTGTCGGCAGCGCAAAAACCAAACGTTAATATTAGCATTGTATCTAGCGACGGACGGACGGATCGTAGCAGACGCAGCTTGAACAAAAACAAAATAATATTATTGTACTTCATTTTCTCTGTTTTTGAGGAGAACTTTACATAATACGCACTTACATTTACAAAGGTCGAATCATCCCTCTTTGTTATTGCGTGAACAACTTGCTGTTCCTGCGCTGCGAGACAAGGCCTTGCCTGGTAATCAAATCGTTGTAGTTTCGTTGAGTTCTGTATTTTAGATCTAGATTTTGGAGTACTATATAATAAGATCTAGCATAATCCATAATAAACCATATTCAGTAACCGATAAGTTAATTCTCAAAAACTACTCATAAAAGAACTAAGCTTATACTTACTTCACAATATGACACTTATTGTCAAGCAACCTCTTCTATTATATTTACCCATAAGAGTCATATTAGCATTGAACTTATTCGGATTACACTTTATACAACGATACATATTTCAGACGCTACGCAGTCTGCAATCGTATTCTGCATATCCAACATTTTAGTACATAACGATAGACCGACTATTTCGTTGCCATCCTTCCCTCGTTGCTATGATACTGTCTATTTTCAACACATACCTATAAATATATACGGGCACCATTTATCTGCATTCTTCTAAGTCCCGTTCAGTTTGGCTTACAAAAAAAAAACGATAATTTCAACAATAGCTTTTTCTCGTACGCCCTTAGCGTCGAGCCGCAGCAGCTGCCGCTCCGCGAGCACACCTACAACCCTCTTTGGGGAAGTTAGATGCGTTCGTCCTCTCGTTTCTTTTCCTGCTGATAGTGCGAGCTGTTTTTGCCGTCATTGGTTACGTGAGGAAAAGAGCCGATCTTCGCGGCCACCGTCGCAGACTTTTTCTTAGAGATGTCTGGAATACCTCCCCAAACAAAGGCCATCCCGCCACCCCTGCTGTTAGCCGCTTTGCAGTATGGAAGAACACTCGAGCGGCTTAAGCTCCGCGGGGGCTGTACAGGTCGGCGACAGCACTCAAGGAGCAATGGCATCGGCAACAGCAATGACACCAAAATCGATTGTGTATGACCAGTCGTTGCTGACATCAGTTTATCGTTTATTTATTTTACTACCGTCGCTACTGCTACAGTGTATATCTGTCGCATTTATTGTAACAAAGTGCGACCTTGCCGCACATAGGGGCAAATAAACCGACACTTGGAATCCTACAGTTACGCGACAACAGCGGCGTCAATCGATAGTTCGGCAGCAGCAGCAGCAGAGCTAGCGGATGATGCTAAGAATCACAATTTTGGTTGTAGTTCTCTGTGAACGGAAAAAAGCCTGCTGAGAAGGACGAAAAATAGTGGCGCTGTCCGCTACATCGGCCAGTGTCGTAAGGGGACCCTGCGCAATTGGATTACTGGCCAATCGACAAAAATAAAGTTATCAAGTTATAGCCCAGCGAACAACAACACGTTCTTAATAGAGCTAATTATATATATAGAAATTTTTGGAGAATTTTACAATTCATAAAATGATGCAATTAGCTACTGCTATGTTCAAATTTACCAACGCGCTTGTGTTTGAAGAAATGTTCAATATGATGGCATAAGAAAGCTAAGTTAAAGTCGTAAAAAAGGTCTTCATAAACAAAGCCAGTAAAACTGGCAAGATTAAAAGCAAAAAAGGTAACAAGTTGACTAAATCTTTAAGTGGTACGCTCTAGATCAGCCATATGTAATCTAATGTAATTCCAACAAAAGTTTCCTAAGTTACCAGTTTTGCCATTGTATCATAATATTGAATAAGTCAACTACCTTAATGTCTGAGAAAAATCAATCATTTTGAAAATGCTGTAATCATATGCTAGATAAGCCAACCTATCATAGGTAGCTATTACAATTTGGAGCCACTTCTGACTTCCGGGTTACGAGCCTCACTTTTTCGTCGGCTATAGCTGTGAAAGAAGATCTCCAATATCTGTATCTATCCCGAGTATGTCAATGACGGCTGAAGGGCTGCGTACGGATTAATATTTATGAACGAAATGCTTATTACGCATAATAAATTATTGCGATCTATATACATGAGTATATATATATATATATATATATAGGAAAGCAGGCGTCGTTGCCGATGACCAGAAAATTGTTCGTGTCATATTCACTGTTTGTGTTGGCCGATAAAGGCTAATTAAAAGATACGCTCATATAACGCTGTATCATATAGTACTTATTAGGATTCTACTTGTTAAAGGCGTGTCGTTCTTTTTTCGATGTTACCAGATAGAGGAATTCATTTTGTTCAGGTTGAGCTCCATGCATTTCTCCTGACACCACACAACTGGTGTCGTCCATATATTCATCATTTATTTAGGTATCTAAGATACCTAGTTTATCTAAACAAGTGTCACTAGGGAATAGCGGGTACAACAAAACGAATGTAATAGCAAATATGAGTATAATTATCATATTTAATAATACAGGACTTAATAATTAGCGAGCAGTAAATATTCGCATGATCCATGTGTGTACGCTGCAGTGTAAATACGTATAGACGACGGTTGTCACTTGCAATCTACGAGGCCTGCTTATATACACTTAAACATTTACCCGAAATTCTAATCTTCTGCCTCGTTTAGTTCTTTATTCAGAACAGCACTAGACGTTTGCTCTCTGCCCACCTTGGCCAGCTGCTTTATCGTTAGCGTTTTTCTATCCATTTGCTCCATGTTGTTTTTTCACACAGGCACAGTGCTATGTTGAACTATGTTTTTGTTGGTACCCTGTCTCTACAGCTTGTATGGTTTTTCGATCTCGATCGGTACGCCCCCATTCTCCTGCGCTCGACGATGTTGTCTTCAGACACGCGTGCACGAAAAAAAGATTCGGGTAGAAGTTTTTTTTCCTTTAATGTGACGAAGACGACGACAATGCTTATTGCGACCGCTGCTATTGTTTCGACGTGTCCTTCGATTATTCTAAATGACTGTGCATTACCGCTACCGTGGGTGCTGTGAACACTGTAATAAGACGATAATGCAGTGGCCGAATTTAGGATTCAGTGCTGAAGGTCCGTTAATCAATTGTCTCAGCAGTACAAGACGCAGGATGACCAGTTGGATCAATATCGAGAAAAATGCAGTCGAAGATGGGCGTTCTATTTACGAGTTTTCTGGAAGCTAATACAATGTTCACAACCTTGATCTTGATCTAGGGAATGATATTTACCATGACGCCTTCCGCAAATGTCTGAGGTTTCCTTTCACGAAAATAACCGAGAGGTCAGTGCAGTTGTTCGATCTGAGAAAGTGGTGGACGGATGGCGAGAAGAGCCACCTGAGCGAAACTGAGACGATCCGTAGCGTACAATGCTTCTGGGTAGCGATACGCACCAATCCTCCCGCAAGAGCTGAAGTTCACATGTATATTTCAATACACACACATAGATAGATAGATAGATAGATAGATACGATTAATCAAATACAGAATTCGAGAAAGGGTACTTCGTTAGCTATAGAGACGCTAGTGAAATATCTTCTCGATAGGGATTTTTCAACGACTTAACTGGTTGCTTCAAACATCATAGAATATTGCTACCGGAAGCCACGGTACCGAGGAGTCTGATTCAGTGCCGCAGCTCGATAGTCAGCCTTTTTAAGGCGATGCAACCAATGATTTAAAACAGGAAAGGCTGCAATGCTGAACTACATTTACCAGAAATTGGCATATTACGCACAGTATTTGTGTTCATTGAGAATATGGTACCGAAAATTTACAAAATATCGGACAACTCAAGTACAACGTTTTCAGTAGACATAACGTAGTCGTGCATATGATTAATATGCTAATATTGTATAATACATCAAGTGCTTCACAACGCAGTCACGAATTCAAAATGTACAGTCTTTACGGACAAGGTATGTCTATTTCCTGAGGCGGAAATATCCGGTACACACACATTTTCTTGTTATCACGCAGAATTAATTATTATGATACGATAATTTGGCAGTGATCAATATACTCTGGATGCCATGAAAACTTCAAGGCGACGGGGCCATAAGCAGTTTCGTGATATAGTTCCAACTTAACTTGGGAAGGTTAAACGACCACCCGTCTCGTCTCACTCAGTTCGACGTTTTTTGTCATTTATATTAATAAAAATGAAGCATATATGTGATTCCCAATGCCGTCTACGGTACACACGCTAATTTTCTTGCCTCGCATTAAGCATACACATGTGGAGTGTATTGCGGTAAGATCGCAGAATATTTGCGGGGATATATCAACGGTAGTTGGGCGATGGGGTTGAGGAGTGAATATGATATCGTCGAATATAAACGGTGAAAAGGCAGCAGTAGCAAAAACTAGCAGACCAAATAAACTGCAATGAACGGAACTTATACAGATCCCACCTATATATATCGATATCGTACAGCGGTGCACCACTAGATAGAAAGCGTGCAACATGACCTCCGCCGGTTGGTCGACGGTAACGTTTAAATTGCTCGTCAGTATGGTCTGACAACGCTCTATAGCCAGTTATCAATGTGTCGATCTACTAGAAGTGTGTAGAAGAATAGTAATGACGCTGTTCTCATGTCGAGGTGCCTATTATTCATGGACGAGCTATCTCTCGACGAAAGTTGTCTTCAGACTTTTTCGAAGTTCGCTTAATTTCTTCCGAATTAATCTCTAAGCAAGGTCTCGACAATGACTGATCCTGCCTTTCTTTGTAACACTAAGAAGGAAATTAATGGTAGGACTAAACACGACGAGACTGTAATGCCAAATGGGAACTTGTGAGAAAGCCAGTGCATTGGCGCTGCTATACGGAAAGGGGAAATGTACACAATCATTGAATTGGCCTCGTATACAATAGTGATTACTTGTACGCCGAATTCATACATTCAATCTGGCATACAAGTCATCATTGTTAAATTAATAAATAAGGGACAATTCTAAGAGTAGGATCATGTCCTGGAGTATCAGCCTTACTTTTCTTCAACGCTGAGCAAACGTCATTATTAACAGGCCTTTGTGTTACTGGCAAGCTAATAACGCTATCGTATAATATATACTAGTCCTTTACTTAAAAACTAGTATACGTTATTTGTTAATTTAGAAAGCATCGATGTGACAACAGGCAGTACGAATAATACACTTTTTTCGTGTGTTCTTGCCTTCTTAATCAATAAGGTGATTTTCATTTAGGCCGACTACTGAACACACATTATGTTTCTGTTTTATAGTGGACCCCCTACGATATCTAAACTAAATAAACGGCTTGAGCCTGATTTCTGGTCCGCCAGTCGTCGTTGCCGTACATTTTTCTTGTTCTAATCTGGGATTTCCGTTTGGCTTTGGCCGAACGACACCTTCCTATCTATTGATAGAGCGGGCATTGCGACTGCTGTTACTGCCGCTGCTGCAGGACGAAAAAATGCCCCTGGTCCTTTCGTTGCTTGAAGAAGGTCACTAAGCCAACAGACATAGAAAACACACAGATGCTACAACACCTGTAAGGTGCATCAATGGTGAACAGATGGGACGACAGAAAATGCCTTCGTCGCATTTCTTTCAGTTTCTGATGCAAACGGCCTATGCTGTTGACAAATTGTGTCGTTTTCGTCGATTTCGCCATCCTCTCCTTTCCTTGACACATTCGCTTTTTTAGTCAGGAGGCATATTTTCAGTAAAATATTAGGTTGGAATACTAAGCCCACTAGACACAACCCAGGCAACATTTTTCTACGTAGTAATAACGGGCCCAATTGACAAAGAATGAAAAACGAATACAGAAAGTTCGGAGCAAAGCGTCAATGAGTTGCGTTGTTTCGTTGCCTCCGGCCATTTTGTAAATAGATCATACTTGATATCAGAACGCGTTCGTGGAGCTTTCCTAGTAAAAAAAACTGCGGTTAGACCATAACGTTTTTGCCCGTAGGTGGATGTGTTGAAAAGTCATACCTACCATCAATGAACGGCTTACTTGTTGAGCAGTTAAGGATTCTGGCAATATCCGCGGTGCTGGTTAGATGCGTATCATTATGACTATACTAGTGGATTCGGATTTGCGGTTAGTCGGCTTGCTTTAGGTTGACCACTAAAAGTAATGCAAAATTAAGGTTTTGGTCAATCAAAACCAAATTAAGAGAACTTTTTCTGAATAAATTCTGAACAAACGACATTTCTATGCGAACGATGTAGACCAAATATGTTATTTAGCCTAGGTGCATATTCGAGAATATATCTGAGCTATATTCTCTGCTATATCTGCTATACGTCACATAGGCAGACGTAACGGCCTTCGAGAGACAGATTCAACAATAGGCACTGGCCTTACCGCGTGTCGGTGTCGTCGACGCACGCTCATCGATAAGTCATATTCGTCTACACCACTATAATCTTCAAGTCTGATTACGCTTCCTTCCGCCTCTGCTACATTATTTCGTGTAGCAAAGGTGCTTACAGAGACAGGATAAAGGAACAAATGTCGATAGTATGTCGCGGGCGAAACCAAATAAAAACAAAAATCGCTTTCCCGTTCTGCTAATGCTACAGCAGAATTTAATCAGCAACTGCTTATTTGTTTACTTTTCTTTTTTTTTTTCATTTTTCTCTTGTAAAGCACCATTCAATATGACCAACATGAACGTAAATGTTGCGCATGAACGACGCCAGTGTTTGTTATTGAAATGCGAATATATAGACTTGACTTGGACTAAAATACGCACGCGATAAAGGACAAACGTTTAGGACGAAATGAGGACCGAGCCTAAACAAACGAACACGGTCGGTCGGTCAGTCAGTCAGTCAGTCAGTCAGTCGCCTTGTCGCGTATCGAATACAGCGGCTCCAATTGTAGTCGCTGATATTTCTACGGAAGGGTTTGCCGCTTTCGTCTAGAGTAGGAAAAGAAGCAACATAGTTCCAGATAGAATCGATAGGCTAGGTCCAACAAAATCAGTAAATCAGCCACGCAGACAAACTGACATCAGGTTGACATGTAAAACGGCAACAAAGTGTATCGTAAGGAAGACAACAGGACGGTTGTAATAATGACGATGACAATAATATTGTATGTGTATATTTAATTGGTTTTGTCTGAAGGCACCAGATTGGATCAATACCATAATACCATTGCATAGAGCAAGAAGCATTGTCGAGGTCTTGCGCCGCTGACGTCGGGTTAGCATCTAGCTGACATTGAAAAAAGAATGATGACAGGTTTGCCTGAACACTAGAATCAATATTACGATTAAGTTGAATACGACCACAGCACTAACGCTGTGGAAATGAACAGATAAGCTTATTAGTCAGCATGCACCTGTGCACATCGACACGTACGTGCCCTTGCTGTATGTTACATGTTATTTGGTGGCATGGTAGCTTGCTATACAATGGTTACCTTGTAACTGGTAAAAAAAATCAAATGCAATATGTCTATTCTGTGATTCGCAATAAGATTAGTAGCTTATCAAATCCACACAAAGCGAGCTTAACTGTTGTTTTTCGTTGAATTTGAAAAACTGTTTCATCTATCCAAGACAGTGCGTCTACTGTAGACACATTAGAAAGACACACAGAAAGATTGGCAACGACCGGGTCCACTATCGAAGCAGATGTGTAATAATACCAATAATTACCCACATGTATAAAAGATATCTCTTACTGGAATGTGTTCGCTATTTGGTAATGATGGCTTTATCACAGGCTTTAATTATAGTTGGTTATAAACGTTCCATCTATGTCTTATTATTACTAAGCTGTGTTAATTTTCACCTATGGATGAATACAAAATAATTGTCAAACTAATTATTCTTTACTTCCATCTTTGCCAAAAATGTAAACTTACCTACGCCTATGACTTTTTATCTATAAAATACGTTTGTTTTCAGATCAAATAGCTACATTGTGTTGTTCCGACCGGTTAAATTCAATAGGTATCATCTTATGGTAACATTCTCAGCGGTGGGTAACTCCTCAGGGTGGCTGATTTGCTTTTTCATTCGGCAATCCAATCCTTTCGTCTCGTGCGGCAAACGAGCCAGTGGATGGACTCTTGGCACCATGGGCCGTTTTAGATCGACGTGACTCTTTCGAAGACGCGGCGGTCGAGGGCATTTTTCTGCTGGAGATCTGCCTCCGCCCACAACAAGCCAGCTTTAACTGCCCATCCCAAGCGATTTTCAGTAGATTTGGCATCGACTTGTTGCAGATGGCCTTTCTATCATACAAAATTTATTACGCAAATTTACCTTCTTGGATTGAACGGAAAAAATCGTTACATACATTATTTTGCTCTCATACATATAAGAACATAAAGACACACATTCACCCACAGTCATAGGACCTGATGAACGTCCTTAAACTGACATCTTAGCATACGCAATAGCAATACGCTCGCCATTTCGGCAGATTTTACAAACAGGCGGTGTTCGAATTAGAATAGAAGGAAACAGTACTTTATCTTAAAACAGATCAATGCCGCACCGCACGACATCCGCAGCCCGATACAAAAAATCTAATGAATAGAAACTAGAATCCATTCTTGCCGTAGAAGCTATCCTTCTCGGGCCCATTAACACTGAAAAGCACGATAACGACTTCGTTGATTAACTCACTTCCGTGAGTCAGTTACGGACGCGACTTACCCAAACCCCATGATCACACTGCATATTATGCCACATCTTCGTGTGTCTGTCAACCAAATGACAGCTAGTTAGTTATAGACGTACCGGAAAGGATTAGGAAATATCGCAGCCTAAATCTGGTGGGGCACTCCTGTACCGTTAACTCGGTAACTGGACGTTCTGTTCGGACCCTAGTCCTGAGTAGCTCAATTAGGAGCGGCGAAACATGATCGTAGACCATTTACCGGAAACAATCAAATATGTGTCTGTGTGTGGTAAATTAGTGTTGATTTGTGACGACACTTCTTTCGGCGGTAGGTTCCCACTCGCCGGCAGCACATTCCTTCCCTCGTCAGTATCATCACTATGAAACGCGACGAATTTGCTTCGGGTTAGTGCCACTGCTACTTATATATCTCATAGTTATTATATTCATAATGACTAATACTACCGACATGAGTCATTGTAATTCTTTGTCAACAAAAACAATAACAACAAGCGTTCTATTTTGATGATGATAATTCAAGAGTCGTCGCGACCTATTCTGTTAATGCAGTTTCAATTGCCGAAGTTCTACTAGCACTAAATTAATTACGCCAAAGCACGACGAGCATAAGGGACGAATAACTGCTTTGTTATGCGTCCATTTGGCGCCACCGGTCGATAGTCTTTTCAGGCGAGCGAGTTTCTGATGCCTGCTATGTCGAGACGAAGATAATAGTAGCGGTAGCAAGAAAGAGCTTCTAGCTAAGAAATACGCGCATCACGGAGAAAGGCCATAGCAACAGAGAAAACAGAATGAGTCAGGCCGACCGCATAAGATTTTTAGTCGGCATAAGTCGCAGGTGTATTCATATCGTACGATGATTATAAACGCCCGCGCAATGCCGGAACTCTGTCAAAGAAGATTAGCTCCTTTTCAACGAGGGCCACAGCAGGAATCGGTGCGCCGGTATATATGCGTCTATTTGTAGATACGTATGATACGCTGGTTTTCGTAAGTTTGCCTTCATCATACTCATTTCTATCCGTATTTGAAGGGCAAAATCAGTTTTTACAGTACACAAAGGTATAGAAGATATTTTCAAATAGCGGAAATGAGTGAATACACATGCGCGTGGTCGAACTGCGCTGATGTCTGCAAACGGTATACCTGTACAGAGGATAAGGTCTACGTTTCTGAAGAAATAGCTTCTTACATCGTGGTCGAAAAGAGATCGGAGACGCCAATCATTAAAACTATCAATATTTCGTGAAATATTTCATCAGAGCCAGCTTCATATACTAACACGTATTATTGTACACACGCACACACACACACACACACACACACACACACACACACTTCTGTCATTAGATCTCCAATATCCGCTAATATGTTGTTTCTGTTATTCATCTGTTGCAGGTAATCTTCTACATTCTGATTTGACGGGTCATGGGACGAGCTTAGAAAAATACCGTATTTGTCTTTGTGTGGTCTTCACAACCATCCGTGCTAATAACCGGTATACACACATGTACATATAATAAAAAATAACAAGCAGCTGCTCATAGATATCAGCGTGATCGATTTCTAATATCATATTATGTAGCATTAGACATACGTCTCTGAAACAATCTAGAGCTGCTCCATTTGAAACTGACTAAGCCCGGATTTTCGCCGTTTGCCGCGTGGTCAATGATGTCCCTATCCCCTCATTCTACTCGACTTTCCGTTTCGATAATGGTCCTTCCTGATCTGGTTCTGCTCATTCCAGTTGACGTTTACGAGTCAACATGTAGTAGCAACATACAATACCTGTCTAAATTGTCGAAAACGTTTCTTCTGCCCTATATGCGTAAATTTCCGGTGCCGGACCATAAAGCTGTTGCACGTTGACTACCATTGACCCATATTCTATCCGATGTATCTTTATAGAGCAAGAATTGCTCATGAATGAGCGTTCTCAGCTTTTTGGGATACCAATTGACGACGGTGCACAGACAACACATGGCACTCAACTCACAACTGCCACCATTGAACTATCTTTTTTGTCGGTTTTTAATTAATTACAACAACATATTAACAGTCAACAAATACACTGAAGTCTGTACTAATCTATCATAACCGAAGCGTTTTCGGGCTTTGAAAAGCTAGTAAACATGAAAAAAATGTTTCTTTCCTTTTTAGTTCTGAGAGCTTGGGTAACGAATCGTATGGTAATAGGTAAAGTTCGCAATAAACAAGCACTGCTTTAGAAGATGTATTGCGAACGCGATAGATAAACGCCCACGATTACGATCGTCGTCGTGCATTCTGTATTGTATGGTGCGTGCATTATAGTCAGATCAGCAATACATGTCACTTACTTACCATGGCCACTTTTACCTCCCAGTGACTCTCGTATGCTGAGCGATTCTGTTCATAATCGACGCTCTGTCTGTCCACGTTTTTGCGGCTTATATAACGAAGCTCTATTTGCGACGCTAGCGATTCGTGTAATTGCGCGCGTAATTCAACTTTCTCCTCGTGTACCTCGTATCAACAACATATTAGTGAAAGCAGCTATAGAGCGACTCCTTCCCTGGTGTTGTTGTGTTTCTTAACACAGAGCCACAACAACAATGGTAACAACGGTAGTTGCTCATTGATACGCAGTTGAAATTAGGGCCGGTATTCAATTCTGCTAAGTAAGTGTCCATGGGAAACGAAGCGCTAGTTCTGCATGCATTTGATACTTGACCGGCGATCGGACGGAAGGCTCTTGCGCATAAATGAGTGACCTATATATATATATATATATATATATATATATATATATATATATATATACACATAGTTACTCGTACTAAGCTGTATCGTTATTGCGCGTTCGGTTAATACGCATGCATACAGGTGATAACTATATGCGTCACACCTATAAACGGTTGTTGTATCGGTCCAACTACATACGCGCTCCATTTCCGCACTATTAGGCTTAATCAATTGATGCACGACGCTTCTATCGGGACAAAACAAGGATGAACGCTGCTAATAGAAATTTCAACACGTCAAGATAACAATAGAACAAATCATCTATCGGCTGATGTATTTTTTTTCTGCCTCTTAACATAGCCACCGTAACCCATATAACAGGTGTTCGATCCGTCACGTTATTAACTAGCCTCAGGATTCCGAGACAAAACGAGACATCTGCTAGTGCTATCTGAAATTTATTGTATATAGAGGTATGGCGTATGCATCGGGTCGATCCATTTATCGTAGACAGCATTAAGATTAAATGAGGTACGGAACGAGCTCTCCGGTCGACCAGCGAATGTGAATGGGAAACAAACGCTTTATCTTATCTATTTAATCGCTATTCAACGTTCAGTTTACAGATGCTGGCACTGTTCAAGACAAACAAAAGTGAGCGTAGCTTTCCCTTTCTAAGCAAAGCATCTGTTGGCGGTAATCGGACAAGCATTATATAATACCTATGCGGCATGGGCGTTACTCATATATTCGTGTAATATATAATCCTTCAATGGCCTCATACAGCAAAATGTATAGACGCGAATGAATGAAATTGTAGTTCACAAGCAGACGCTCCTTGTGCCTTCAAACAGGTACATCTCTTGCTATCGACTGGTTCAGTTTGGAAAAGACGTTTTTTTTTTTTTAATATTTTTTTGTAATGTAATGTACACAGAACACGCACAATGCAATATATAGACTCTTTCATTTGAAAGGTCATTGAAGGCGTACACGTGAAATACGGGCCTGCATATACGCTTCATTTCTATCATAAATTGCACCATTTTTTGTTGTTGTTATTGTTTACGGCTGATAATACCATTTGTCTAACCGAACCGGAGATAAAAATAATCAGCTATAGTAATTTGTCTTATTCAAGGTTTCCATGTTGCCATTTCGACACTTTCATGATTATTGTTTCTATAGTAGAAAGTCCAGGCCTTGCACGATTCTTTCTGTTGTTGGATTACCGGACGAAAAATAAGGCGTTACCCGAAAAAAAAATTTGCTCAAGATCACTTATACCAATCTAGCATATTAATAGGTACAAACGAACCTACGTATGGAAGTTGTACGTGAATATACAATAAAAACACGCAAGAATGTCTTTTTTTCGCGTCACGATAAGTACCTGCATGATGATGATGGAGGGCATTCGAAGTTCCACTGACGTTCAATGACAAATTAAAAAGTTCCAGTTGTTTGCTATATCTATTTCAAAGTGTCTATGTATGGTCATACAGGCGAGCTGACGAGCAATTGCGTTCGCTGATAGATGTTTATTGCACATGGTGTCAATGCTGATGAACTATCCGATGAGTAGACGCTCGTAGATCTATCGTTAGTCGAATATCATCAAGCTCTGCTTTCCGTCAAACCCCTTCAATGTGTAAGCACGACGAGGATCGCGGACACAAGGTTTTTTGTACAGGGCATGGTCTCTTGTTCACTATGCTGCCCGCTGTGTACCACGTCGATAGCAACAGTAGGGCGGGTCTTTTCGAACACTAAAAAAAAAAGCTACTGATGACGTTTTTCAATGGATTGGCCCATTAGAGTATTTGCCCGTCTGGGCAGTCACCTTGTTCGATGGGACTATTTACTAAGGCGACAGTACTTACGGGAAAAAAGGCAACCTGTCACACCAATTCGCTCGTAGGAAAGTGTACGATAAAATGACAATTTGGCCATTAGGCGAAACCGTACAGCTGTAGTACTTCATCATATAAAAACTACATCACACGTACTTACAATAGTGTTGCACGTGCAAACAGGGAAATTTTTCGATAGAGCCTCAAGTACACGAGTAGAATGGTTAGCGTATCTAGGGGCCGATAAAAGAGGGCAGCTTAGGGATAACAACTAATCCCACAAAAGAAGGCGTACCAGCGCACTGCCAACTTAGGCTGTCGTTATTGATTACGTGAGGAATATGACCGAATAGCCATGTTATTATCTGTGTCATCCTTGATCCGATTTCCACTGTGTCTTAGTTAAACGCTAAACAGACGGCTTCTGTATAGTAATTATTTATTTACCTCGTCGTTATACGTTCCTTAATAAGAGTGATCCATTCTTAAACGATTGGCTAAATTCTATACGTTTGTTTATGCATTAGGAGACGCCGAGTCATCTGCTAGGTGAATCATGATGAATATTTGAAAAATTCGCAGTAACAGATGCCGGGCGACTTGCAATGTGGTCAGAAAGAATGAATTTAAAATATTACCAACGGACGTGACCATGGCTGAAAATGATCTCTTGGTGAGTCGACGCCTTTTCAATCAAATAACTCTTCTTTTGTGGACGACGTAATCCGATAAACGAAGTTTAACGCCCCCTACGAACACCAGCAAATCAAATAATGGGTTGGTAGTGTTCGTGTGCGGTCTATTAGAGGAGCGCCCCGTTCGGATCTGGAGCTTCGCCGACTTCTCAGTAAAATGTGACGAACTCTCTAGGTACCCTTATCGGGTTCAGGTAACAGTAACAGGTTAAGTTCTTTGTGAGGGCCTTAAAGAGACACGACATTGTAATGGAGGGTGGTATTTAAAACATCTTGCCGATTTCTCAAGCAGTGGGGCTAGCTATACGGATTGGATAAGTATTACTGGATTCTCTCAGTAGTTGCTGTGGACTGAACGAACACGATTCTAGCGGTAAGTGCTGGCTGGGAATAAGAGGGGATCGTGTGATTTAAGTGGTCCGAGGGGAAGGAATACCTTTACACTCGCCTGTAACAACGGTCCATACACTTTCCTGACACCGAAGGCAAGCCTTTCTGAAGATCTATAAATCACTGTAGACTACGTGCCATAATGCTACTGTTTGTTAATAATTGACTATCGTTGTTAGGGATCAGCTAGCCGCTGCTTCAAATAAATTGAGCGTACATAAATAAATGAATACAGATACACAGCAAGCGCTTAGATATATCCATCTGACATGCGCTGTTGCGACGGAGGCAATCTAAAAATTTCAGAGTAATACTTAGATATAATTTGTTAACTTAATGAAAACAGGAAAGGTCAAAATGGCCCATGCACGACTAGTTCGAGTGGGAGAAGTAATTAAGGTTCAACTTCTTTTTGCTTTGATAACGGGAGCCACTGCGAACTACCACTATCTCTAAGAGGGGTTAGGTATTACTTGACACTCCCCCCCCCCCCCCCCCCCCACATCTTCTTCGCGCGTACCTCAAATGGAATTCTAAACAATGTCGTTTGACTGAAGAATCAGTTATACGTCTGCCGTTGCAATAACGATTTTTGCGAGAACGTCGACTGGTCACGCGAGCTCTGCAGATTAGTCCTGCCATAAAATCCTAGCAGAATAATAACAATAGCGCACGAGCCATGCTAAACTGGCTCATAATCACATAAGTTGCATCGCGAAAAGCGTGCTTTGTTACCGTTAGCTTGAATCAGACAACAGGTATCAGCGGCATCGATTTTCGAATTGGACGCAGTCCGTGTTCAGTTCTGAGCTATCCAACAGACGGCTGCTACAGCTGTCAAGAAAAAACTTAGAGCTGACGCTTACGTATTATCTATCTGGCCTGTATACGTACATGAGTAAAGTGTCATGGCCAGTGCAGGGAACAGCGAATGTGGCTTTTAGTAGATTACGGCAGTCTATCAGTGCACGTTTCTACCATATTTACAGGCACCCAATCCTCTGTCCCGTACGAAAAACAGCGCTAAAACAATATGGACATTGCCGTACGAGCGAAATGAGTTGCGTCGTACTGATTCGTTTGTTCAGTCATCGAGCGATGCTCATTGTACTCTTGGGAACTCAGTGTTATCGATTTTTCTGCTATAGGTCCCATATTCTCATTTTTCCTCATCGTTATGATTCAAAGGTATGATGTACATTGTAGCTATCTGTTCATCTGGCGGTCCACCTTCAGCTTTGTTTATGCTCTTGATCGTGCGTTCCCGTTTTAGGTTGTACTGTTCTTTAGCTGTTTTCCACGAGACTGGTCACTTGAATCTGCCTTTTCATTCACTGGGCGTCAATTTCGTTCGTTTGTTCGTTGCTTTAGCGATCACTCAACGAGTGGAAGCTGTCAACGCGCGCTGCCGTCTTGATAAATGAATTCGAACAAAGTAGAATCGACGGATGAACCTCTAAGTAAAGGTGACCAATAGCTGAATGAATAGATAATCATTAACGACCGTAACCGAAACAATACTTGGGCTATTGAGTTGTAATAATGATCATAAATTGGCGTCATCGCCATCATCATGATCGTCGCTGCGAACTCAGTAAAAATATAGTCTAATACAAGGAACAGAACACAGTAAATGGGCCATTTAGGTTGAAGGCAAATAGCCCTAGATATTTTCAAAACACATCAGTCAGCTATTATAGTGCTATGTACTGATCTGCAGGGCCGATTTAGGCACATTCAGATAGGCGTTCCCACTCGAAAAGTGTTTGTGATTGAAAGGTCGACGTACCGTTCGCTTCACATATATGAGAAAAAAACTCGTGAGCGTACGATTTCACAGACGTAAAATCGAAATATGGCGGACCATTTGCGTCAGGTAAAGACGCCTATGAACAGAGGAGGCTCACTTGATGATACACGCGCTGGTTGGACGGCATAGCTCGAAGTAATCGTTCATGTTGACAGCGACGTGATATCTCAGTGTAAACGACTCTTGGATTTTTATGGTACAAAAGCGTCGTTTAATATGAAGTTATTTTAATTTGCCCCAGAAATCCCTCGACTGAGGCATACTCTGTCTTGCAATCCAATATACAGATTCTTTTTTCATGCCACCGGATCTGCCACCAGTAAATTTGCGATTGATTATCTCTCGATGGGATATCTCATATAATGGATGCCTAATATAGCGAACGAAAAATGCCGAACGTCGCGCAGTTCGTCAGGGTTCAAGTTAACAAATCTAGTGTTTCTAGCTTGGGTGGGAGTTACTGTCGCATTTCTATTTTGTTAGATATTATAATTCTTTGTAACGTTGCATACACAAGGCCGGGACCCATAAAAAACAGACCATAGAGAGGTGGATTATTCTAAAGTGATTAGAAGTAATTATCCTTTTCTCGGTTCGTCCACAGGAATAATATTAGTGTTACAGAAAAGTAAATTTGAACAGAAACGTACTAAATAAAGACAATATGCATACCAAACAAATCTTCAGGTAATGCCCGGTGTCATCTTTTCGACTTCGTAAAGACTTTCGACGGTGCGATTTGCTCTAGAGGATTACCACGATGAGTTGTGACAACTGCTCAAGTCATTAGGAAAGTAAAAGCTTGCTATTCTCTTGTCGAAAGCCTGTGTGAGAAGTGGCCTTTTTCTGGGCCAATAATTAGAAAGTTTTGCTATGTAGAGGTTAACCAGATACTGCCTCACTGACCAGCATCCTAATCTGAGCAATGACTGCTGGCCTGCTAATGGTTGAACGCGCAAGACCACAAACGTGAAATGCTCTTCGAATACATTTGGTTACCTTAAAAACGATGTACGTCTACGAGGAGGGGATGGGTAAAGCTTTTGAAGTGGTCGTATGGATCGTCCCATTCTGCATCACAGAAATTGTTAGCTTATTATTTGTTTGAAAATAAGTTACAGAGTCAGGGTATATAATTAAGTTGTACGTTTTGCTTTTGTCGTAGCATTTTATACGTAAGGTAATTTCCACATACTAGCTATCATCAGCTGGACAAAGCGGTTCACGCAGTTCGTTCTCTCTTGCTAACATCTTGAATTACAATCAATTGCTTTAGAATAATATGCGTTTTTAAAAGGGCACTAGATGTATAGTGAGATCTACACTGAATAGAAGTCCAGACATGGGAAGCAAAAGACACGGTAAAAAAAAAGGCTAGATACGCTTCTGTTTCAAGCGAGCGTTGCATGTCAGCTATTTTTGTCATGAGTATGCTTTAAGGCGCTATTAAAGTATTGGAATTACGCATTATTTACTATAAAGTAATGAACTGTAGCTTTTAAGCATCCTAGCGACTGCTCGATATCGCTAAGCTGTCACTCGACATTCATTGCTGCCCCTGAACGATCTTTTCGACCACCTGCAGGCATCCAGTATCACTTGGGTTTTCACGCTTGAGCGCTCCTCAATTGGGCAAAATAGCCGGCCTCGACCCTTCTGCATACGCCAATTATGTCCCTGCACGGCATCTTCACTGCGACATCCGCCGCAATTTAGAAATTAACATTCCCCTATACGATTTGGTGCACTGGAAGTTGTACAGAAGAATACGATTAACAGCCATTGAGGATTGTGATAGGTTGTTAAGCAGATCAATTGAAAATTACTAAATGCAATTGTTCGTATCGTATGAAGTAATGATCCACATTTGAATCTTTTGTCACAGGACCAAGTACGCGCGTCAGTGGATCGTACACAGGCCCAACAAAGACTAGAAGGCAAATAGTCGTATATGCTGGTTTATTTCAGAGCCTATTTTACAGAAATCATGATTACGCGTTTGGAAAAAGCGCCACTTTAGCTCAAGTATGACTAGTAGAAGTGTTCCCCGTTCAGGAGAAGATATTTAATCTGATAATACAATGCAGTCAATTACCATAATTTAATCGCAAATCGCAGTGCGGAATGAGATCGTTTTATGCATAAATAGACTCAGTCCAGTACCTTTCTATGTTAAGTGCCAGTAGTTGGTAAATCCACATTGATTTTAGGCCAGGTTATGGTCTTTATTCATTTTGGAACCATTT